TCATTTAATGTTTTACTTTAAAACCAATTTTAACAAGATGCATAAATGGCTCTCAGCCCGGGTGTTTTTTCTTTCTTTAATTTCCTCCATGCCGTTGAAAAGTCTTATTAATGAGCCCGATCACACAAGGCGGAGTGAACCATTTTATTAAGTCATTAAAGCACATAATAGAGTCATGGTCAATTAGATTTTTGCCTAGCCCTAAATTTTGCTTCTGTTGAAGGCCATGCAAAATTTTTACTGAGATGAAGATAAGACGGTTGGATGAGGACAAGTCAATGGGGATGAGGGAGTTAATCAATAGCAGTAAAATCTGTGTATAGGCCTCATTTACATGGGTGCAGTGGCCCATACAGCATGAATGAGGTGTTTATGTGGCAAGGAGTTACAGGTGTCTGTGGCTGCACAGATTTAACAGGTTCCAAGTCACTAGAAAAATATTTTTATATACTTTTTTATGTAAAAAAAAAAAAAAAGAATCTTTGTTCAATAACAAAAAATAACAGTCACAACAACACTTTCCACCCCATTCCCATTGATTGCAGCGCCCGGTTCTAAGGCAGAAACATAGAAACAAGAAGGCACTGGCCACCAGTAGAACCCACCAAGTGCACCATTAAACTGTGCTTTCATATGAAAAGTGCCATTTTGTTACTATATACAAGATTACAAGTCTGTGCGTTTACAACACTGCTGGGAAGTTCATATGGCCGAGTTATTGAAGATACACATGACGTTGATGTATTCATTTCATAGAAATTGCTGTTATGCCTATTCAATCATAAATGACCCAGGTAAAAACCAATAAATGTTTTAATCACAGAAATAAGGTAGTCAATCATATTGGAGCTGTAATGGGCTCCACTACCAGCCTAGAGCATCATGCTTTTAATCAATCCAACTTAAAGTATAAAGTTAATGTTTACTGTATGATCATAACTTTACTTTTTATTGCCAATCATTGTGCATGGCTATGCAAAAGTTAATTGTTAGATTGCACATAATATGTACAAGCATTAATTCTTCACTTTAGGTTTGTATTGTGCAGGGTGTATTTGGTGCCTTATTGGTTGTAGTGCAGGGTGTATATTTCAGGGTGTCTAGTAGGCTCTGTATTTGTTGTAGTGCAAGGTGTTTAGTAGGTTGTGCTTGGTTTATAATGAAGTCTGCATTAGTTGTAGTGCAAGGTGTATAGTAGGCTTTGCACTGGTTGTAGCACAGGGTGTATAGCATGCTTTGCATTGGATGTAGTACAGTGTGCATAGGAGGCTCTGCAATAGTTGCAGCACAGAGGGTAGAACAGGTTCTGTTGTTCCAGGGGTACCATAAGTGTGTGTGTGTGTGTGTGTGTGTGTGTGTGTGTTTTTGAAGATTTAATTGTATTATCAGCTGTTATATTTTTCATGGATGTAGTATTTAATATTGGTAATTTTATAATGGAGACATTCCTTCTTGGCATAAAGCAGATCAGTTCCATGAATGACTGTTCTGAGCATCTCCAACAAAGCCTTGAAAGCATTAGTGTGCTCCAGCATCACTAACCCACCAGTATGTCTGTTTGCCTGGGCCCCTGGCTTGATTTAGTGCAGCGTGACTGTGGCTCCCCCAGCCAGAATGTTTGCTCACTCTCAGAAGCCGCAGCAGAGGATCGCTGAGCTCTCTGCTTCCAGTGACTGTAAGCGTAGCCCTGTTCTTGCTATGTATAGTCATGCATACATCAATTTATATAGATTTTCCTCCTCCCGGCCCAGATTTATGTTTCACGTCTTACTTCATGCTAAAGTGTTTCTGAAAAGACCATTTGGCTTCAGGGCCTTTCATTTGAGTCTGTGTATAGTGTGACAGGGGGAAATCTATACGCTAGACATGTTAATGGCACTTCAAAAGTTGGCCTCCTTTTTGGAGGTACAGCATAAGGTAATGGGTGTATTTTTAGGAGACCTGGAGAAATCCATAATGCAGTCCTGTCTTTTGTGGTTGATGTGCGGGTAATTTTTCATTGGGGCCAATGAGGACACGCAGAAACATGAAACAAGCACAAGTTTTTGGTATTGTCATTGTTGTGAAGTCTATAAAGTCTACAAACCAATCCAGTGTGATCTTTACTTCCGTCATAATTTTATGGTGGCATTTCTTGTATAGCTTTGTAGTTCTTTCTTTTAATTTAATGTGTACCCAGCAGATAAAATCAGTTACGGATAAGTCGGCTATATATTCTTTTTCTCTCCTAAATGATTATGAAGCAGAGACAACTAAGTCTCAGGCATAGAGGAAAATTTACTTCCAGACTGCTTATATATACTGGACCAGCGGCAGTAGTGATGGAAGGCATGGCTGGTGCTTTGCAGAGAACTAAAAGAGCAGTTTGCATCGGGGATTCTTTTATTATCTAAGCTGCACAAGTGTTTGTGTGTACTGCAGAGGATCTGATTTGGTCACAGCCTCCCACTGGGTTGAGAGGGGGACCAGTTGGTTACTGGTTGGGGACCAGCATAAATACAGCCTTGCCATAATAATCTAAACCAAGTTGGGACTGTTAAAACAATGACCCTGTTCTGTGTAAAAGAAATGACCAAGGAGAGTATTTGTTACTTGTGGCTTCAAAGTTTGTGTGGTCACAATCCTTAGTGATGGAAATCTAGCCCTGCACATCATGTCTTTAAACCTGAAAAATGACTGCTGGATGTTGCCCCTGGAGGCGTGTTCCTGATGATCCTGGTGTAATCACACTGTGAGCTTAGACAGACCTACAATGACTTGAGAACAAGCATGGAATAGGAGGACTAAGAGCAACAGCATATTGCTCCCATGGGTCTCTGTACCCCCTTCTCAGCATTTAACCAGCACTGTTCTGATGATGGATTGTGGTCCTCTCAACACCTTCGCTCTCATATACCTTTTGGGTATGGTATTGTACCCAGAGGTAGCCAACCAACTAGCATATACTGTATATCTCAGGTTTAAAGTATATGCAAAGCTTAATATTTAGTTTTGGATACAGTAAGTACCAATGATGACACTAATCAGGTTTATGGTTGCTGCTTGTGAAAGAGGAATTTCCCTTTACTTGGTAATGAATTGACAGAACAGGAAGTATTAGTGAATGAGTTAAGCTGGCCACACACTGATCTGATTTCCTCCTTCTGTGGGTGGCCCTACCAGGACCAACCAGCTCGACAAAATTCAATTTTCCAATTGACTTTTTATCAAAAGAGCTTGGCGGAAAATTGCCTGTTGAACAGTGATTGAAACCAATCAGGTGCAGTCTCTGTTCTAGTATTCCAGCTGTCAAAATATACTACACGGCAGAGGATCGTGTGTATGGGGTGATTGAGTGATTTTTCTCGTCTAGGCCCTCGTTTTCCGCTAAATCATGTAAAATCTGACCTGTGCGTAGCCCCACCTATACCACCTAGCTCCAATAAAAGTAATTTTTTTTCCAGTGTACTTTCATCAAAAGAGCTGGGTGAAAAATTGTCAACCGAATGACTAGCCAAATGACTTTAGCCAATCAGCTGCTGTTTAGGTATTCTGGCAGAAAGCAATAGCCGCCAGAGGAGATTTCTCCATCTACACTCTTCAAAATAACTGTGGGTATCAAGCGATTTTTTCCTATTCAGTTTGTGGGGCTGAACCAGAAGAAATCTTCGTGTATGGCCAGCTTTAAGCAGGTATGACGTTTGTCCAGTTCTTGATGAGCCAAACGAAAATTTGAACAGTGAGTGCCACTGTCTGCTTTCTTCAGCCCGGCATTCAGCTGATCGAAGGAGGCGGTTGTAAAATTCTCGGGTGAACGAAGCTAGCTGCTAGCTCTGTTTGGGTCTTCTGACAGTGGCTGGTGGCTGCTGTCAGAATGCAATGCAAACAGTGGGGGATTCCTCCATCCACGCTTGTAAGCGCGGCTGGAGGAATCTGTTATATTTTCTTTGATATTACACCACAAGTTGAATGAAGAAAATATAAGTGCGTATAACCAGCTTTAGACAGATGTCACTGGAGAAGGTGTTGCCATTGGAAGACTTCCCCTCGCTTCCTGTTGCTGTGGCAGCTCCATCACAATTTTCCATCCACGGAGATGGTCACCAGGGCAGACAGGTTAAACCAACCCAGCTCTGACAAAGACCCCAAACTATATCCAAACGTTAAAAAAAAATGTTTTTGCTTTTACATACACTTTAATAACAATTTAATTAATTGGCAATGCTCGCTTTTCTTGCCATCGTGATGCATATCCCACTGATCGGGAGGAATATACTGAAAACACACAATCTCGATCTTTCAGTGTAATAACAATAAGATCGCACTGCTGTGGCAGATAATGCTCCTTTTTATTTGCTTCCAGATGGACTCTGGAGCTCCGCTACGAGGTTTTATTAGAAGAGCGTGCATCCTGCTGGGAGCCGGAGCAGGCTGATATGCATTTGTGTGCCAGGGTGATGATGTCATGAAAATGTGACGGATTGATCCCTGCTAAGATAATCTAGGAGAGCAGAGCATTTCCTGATCACATAATATAGATCTGGATGTATATGTGGGAGGTGTGTGTCTTTTTGAGGTCTGTACACGACTCATCTGGTAGTACATTGGTAAGGGTTGCTTGTTCTACTCACTGATAAGCTTACAGCTTTGCGATTTCCAGACTTCCAGAGATACATACTGGCCCTGATCATCAAGCTGAAATTGCACTTAAAGGAATTGTAAAGTTCCAGCATATCCTCTCCTGTTATAACATCAGCATTGTAATAGGGATACATACTAGAGTTGTTTTTGATAATGCAGTCATAGCTTACTTGAAAAAGTATTTTATGTAGTGAGTGCTGCCTTCCATCTGCCCATGACTTCCAGCAACTTCCTGCATTCCCAGTGTGCTTTGTGTTTCTTTCCCTGCTGCTTGATTTGATGCAATATTGCTTTCTCAGGACTGCATATCCCATCATGCATTGCTTCCAGCAAGCAATGATATTGTTACATTGTTCAGACGTTGAGTTATAGTTCAGAAGGCGGGCTCCGTGAGAGCTGTGATACAGTGTAAATTCACAGGGCTGAGTGAAATTGTGTCCGTGCATTGAGTAGTACCTCCTATGGGAATCTTCAAAAAAGTACGTTTACAAACTTCTAGATTGATATGGTTATTAGGAGTAGGAATTTCTGAAATAAAATCTGTATTTCAGTATAACAGAAATACAGATTTATTTTTAGTTTTTGACCACAGATACTTTAAGATGTGCCAACTAACAGATAAAGTGACCCCCATTTCTAAAGATGATAAATGAACACCTTCCTGACCACTAAACATGTGTCACCGCGTTGGGTGAGCTGATGCATATATGTCAGCCAGCTCACTGTTCTGTGCTGGTTAGCGAGCTCACAGCACAGAGATCCAGCTGTCACTGACAGCTCCCGGACACTGTTTATGAATAGAAGCCCCTGGAACAGGCTCCTGATCATGTGAGAACCATGACAGCCATTTCCAGTGATCTGGCTCCCAATGTCAAGATCTCCATAAAGGGCCACAAAGGGTTATATCACCAGCACCCTAAAAAAAAAAAAAATTTAAAGAACAATTTCAGGAAATGTTAATAACCCTTACAGTTGGGCTACCCCCACACTGCAAGGATTAAGTGCTCGTTTGTGTCTAGGTTAAAAAAAAAAGTTGGACTTAACCTGAAGTTCTGAGCCGGCTTCTTTATAGACCAATCCTTTCAACGTCTCTCCCGCTCCTCTGCAGCAGTCTAAGGTCCAGTAAATGATCATGTCTATACACCGTGTATAGACATGAGGATGCTGAAGAAGATTCCAATGTGCTGCAGGGAGGGGGAAGACGGCCTTGAGGGAGTGCTGTGACAGCTGGCCGGCTCGGAGCTTCGGGTGAGTATAATTGTTATTTTAGCACCTAGACACAAATGAGCACGTAACCTTTGCAGCAACATTTTGTATGGGGACCCTTTCATCTCTAATTACACCCCTTGCAGAGCCCAATTGAGATCCCACACAACCCACTTGAGGGTGACGCTGCAGAGCCCACCATAGACTCTCTAAGGTGGGCTCTGCAGGGTCACCCTCAGGTGGGCTGGTCACACTCCTTACCTGTCCGGCTCATCTTACTCCACCATCGGTGATGAGCCCACCCCCTCCCCCGTCGCCGGGTCCCGCCTCCTCCAGCCTGCTCCACCGCCGCTGCTGGATCTCACTGACTCAGCAGCGGCTGTGAAGAGGAACTCGGCGCTGCACAGATCACTGTCATTGATCTGAACAGCGGCACATTCCTCTTCACAGCTACCAGTGACAGCCAGCAGCGTGAGACGCCATGGTGGCCCGCAGGGCATCAGTAATGTCCTGGCCGGGCCCCCTGTGCCCCGGGCCCCATATCGGCCGACTGGGTCGCTATGGTGATTATTACGCTACTGCCTAGCAGTGTAGGGATAGTCCCACTGCAAGGGTTCATAAAAATAATTTCTAATTTAAAATGTACCTTTCTGATGGGTGGAAGGTCATATCTTCACTTTCTTGAAGAGCTATGGATGCCGCTGGTATCTGCACTTCCAGGTGTGTTGGATACCTGGTACCATGCTTAAAGGAGAACTATGAGGTGAGTGCTTTTCACTCATCCTCATAGTTCTAGCCGACCTGTGACAATGAGACTGTCACAGGTCGGCTCAGTAGATCGGGAAGTGAGCGAACACATACTGGCGTTCGCTCACCTCTCGATCCTGTCACGGCTCTCTGCCGTGACAGGGGAGGCACTGGATTCCTCCCTCCCCACTCCGATCCTCCAGCGCTGACTGTCGGAACGGATGGGGGAGGGGCGGGTACAGCTGGCTCTGCCTCTAGATAGGCAGAGCCAGCTGTCACTCACGCAGCTGGGTGGATCCAGACATAATTGTCGGGATCCGCTGCGGCGTCTCAGTATACCGCGAGCTGTAGCTCGCGGTATACTGAGCTTAGGTTGCGGGGAGGATTCTTGTTTGTGTCCTCCCGTTACCCTAAGGAGAACTATGGGGAAATGCCCTAACCCCATAGTTCTCCTTTAAAGCTATGGCTCTGGCATCATGGTCACCTTAAGGCATGCTAAAATTGCATGTGATATTTACTGGCAAGCCACTTTAGAATGCCATAAGTGTACTTCAAGCTGCCCTAAATGCTCCTGTAGCTCAATCAGTAGGGGCTGTTGCCTGTGCTACAGCATCTGAATAGGCTAAACCTGTTATTAACTTGAAAATAAGATGGAAAAATCCGAAAGCAGAGGCTACGTTCAGTAAAAACTGCAGGTCAAAGAAACCAGTGAATCGAGAGATACAGGGAGCTGACATTATATGCAAATATCCACGCCTCTTGTAACCTATAGAATTAGCCTGTATTGTCCCACCTTCCCTATTGGTCAGTAATGTGGCCTATTAAAATAAATACATTTATGTTGCTCAGGTGTATATTGGGTTTACTTTTAGAATCGAACATTTCTGTATTGCTCACTACATTATTTTTTAGAGCACACATTATCGTACGGCAGAAAACATTATTATAAAGGGCAGGTAGTGATTTTACTTGTAGAAAGCTTTTTACGTTTTTTTTTTTTAGTGCTGTCCTTTATTTTTGGACACTAGTTTTTGGTTTTTGTCTGTGGATGCATTTATTTCTGCTTCATCTGAATTGATGAAAGCAAGACTGTAGTGTCCATTAAAATGATGATACTAAAAGGGTCTTTTCTCCAAGCCAAGAAAGTTGAGAGGTATGTTGTGCCTAAGGGGGGCACATGACTATGATCAGGACCTGGAAGACATGTCACTTATTAGTAGAGCACACTTTGATCACCATTACAGAAGATGAAGCAGATGGCGCCACTGACATCTGCAAGGACATATCAAGTGAATTTGGGACAGGGATAGGAAATGCCAGGAAGCAGAAATGAGAATTGTGCTTGTACCGGCCAAGAGTTGCACCCTGGCAAGAAGCTGTGGACATAACTATGGGTGTAAATGGTTGTCCATAGTGTTAAAATGCAACACCTTTTGTATTGTCACATTTCTGAAGAACAATGGTCTGGCAAACCCACCTTGGTAGCTTGACACTATAATATGACTGCAAAAAATGGCTGCAGCAGTTATATAGAGTTAAGACTTTAGAAGACGATTTCTAACTACTAGAGTCTTGGGTATGATGAACAGTATGACCAAACTCAAATGGACTGACCATTCAAAAGTTTTAATTTTGGTTTTTGATAGAAGCTGGAGAGTTGGTCTTCACAGTATCTTGTATCTCTTGGACACTGTTGGTTTAGATCTCTGTGGTGGGTCTGCAGCCTTGCTCGGGCCATTAAAATTCTGCCCGTTTGTGTGCAAACAGCCGTAGCCTAGGCCTGTGCAAATCAATGACCAGCACTGCCATTGCTCGCATGTGCCTGCTGGTAGGACCTCTGACAGGCTCTGCCAGAACCACCAGCCTTGGACGCAAACTGTCTGCATCCAGGCCTGGTGGTTCTGGCCGCATGCTAAAAGGGCACAGCTAATCATCCAGTCTGTATGTGGCCATAGCACATGACAGTGCTGTTCCATCCAGATACAATGTTTAGCCACATATGAGCACAGCCGCCTAACTGCCCATCTTAATGAAGCCTCAAACTTTTTAGGCAACAAAGCACCAGCTTTTTTTTTTTCCTGTGGGCCACTTGCAATCCGTTTTATACCAGACATAAGGAATGAGCATAGCAGTGCTGTAGAATCGCAGTGACTTTCTACAAAGGGCCGTAGTAAACAAATGTCAAATGAGCGTTTGGTTACACTAGGGAAATACAATTCAATTAGCCAATGTGAGGCTGGCAGCGACAGGAAATGAGTCAGGTACTTGTACTATAATTGACATGACCGAGATATGAATCTGAATTGCTTGCGTCTCTATTAGTCGTTCCTAATTGCTGTGTTGTAATTATTGTTTAGTCTGGTATTAGGTGTCACGGGGATGGGAACACACTCATGGACAAGCGGGCTTGCAGACTTTCTCTAAACAAATGAAAAAAATCTTGGCTTTTATACCACCAACACAAAAATATTACAGACTTTTTAAAACAATTACACAATATTGTGTGAAACCCTTAGAATGAGTATTTAGTATCACTTTCTGCAGAATTACAACATTTGGCCCCATTGGACTCCATATTTGGACTTTGTAGGGCTAGAATTCAGATTGATGTTATTGATTAGGATTCTTGCCACTTGATTTATTTTAAATACTTTTTTTTGTCACTATTTTTTATAAATTTACATTATTTTATTATTTTACAATTAAACATGAAATACAGCGCACACCCTTGAAGACAGGGTCTCTATGAAGTTTCAAAAACAGCAGAAGTGGCTTGCTGTTAGACTTTCTCATGTAATACATTAATTGCCCAAAAACGTTTTCTTTTCTTGTTCCCGCTATTTGTTTTATGACCTCTAAAGACAAATAGAAGTACAAGCGCTTATTTACAGTTTTCTCACTTAGGCACACTCACCACTGACTTCACTCTCTCCTGGTCAGTCCACTTGACTCCACCCCACCCCACCCCACCTCCTGGAAGGGCCTAAAACCAATAAAGCAAAAAATGGAAATCTACACCCTGTTACAGGTTTAGCAAAATGGGTGTGGTTTTATTTCAAAATGGTATGTGGGAAGGGCTATAAAATTCCCTTTTTAAAAAAAAAAAGTTTTCTCCCCTCTTTGGTGTGAATTCCACCCCAATCTCAGGCACATCTGGAAACCTGCAACTTCCCGTGGTGGCCAGTGGATTAAACTTGACTATTTTTGTAATTCCACCTTTCATCTGTTCCTGTTTATGTTCCCCAGTCAATCTTCTCTAATTGTTTTAATCCAGATGGGTCTTATCGTGATCCACAGATAATGATTTCATTTATTTACTCTACCGGGCTTCTAGTTTGGGTTTGTACACAGAGATCTGTAAGGTATCTATAAAAACAGAAGAAATCTTGCTCTCCATCAAGGTTGTTATTTCTGGCAATTAATTGTTCCCAGAAACGTTGGGGTCAGCAACGAAAAAGAATGAGAGCACTTAAAAACAAATGTTTATATCCCTTCTTAAAACTATTACTCTCATAACTGTCGCTTTTCTTTAAAAGGGAAATCATTTTGAAATCATTTTAAATGGAAATGAAGGGAATTACTTCTGTGACTGTATTTGGTTGATTTCATCTGCCTCCTGTTCTTCAATGGTTAGTCCACCTCTAGCTTCTTCTAGGCTCCACCAGATATCAGACCGGTGTCACGCTATGTAATTAGATCGTGTAACGGGACGGAGCTCGGGGCCGCTCGACTACTGCATTAGGCGCCGGAACCGGAAGTTTGTGTCACGCTTTTGTCGCAAGGATGGGCCATGATAGACTGCAGCCAAATATGCTTGGTCCACTTACTTCTAAAGCTCCTGAGTTGCATGCACTCAGGATATAACCTTGATCTGTAGTGGCCTAAAGAATCTGGGTACCAATCCCTATAAAAGAAATGAATAGTCCATGGACTTTATAAAGAGTGTCTTGTATACGCATTAGAAATGTGTCTCTTGTCTGTGCAACTTGTGGCAGATTTATGTAATGGTCCATAATGTGTCAGTAATTGTCTGCAACACAATTATTACAGGAGTTGCAGCCATAGTGCCAGCATGCAAAGGTTTCACACATGCACTACCTGAATTTGTTCCACAAGAAAACTGTCACACGGCTTTTGTGAAATTTGGTGCAGGGCTTTCTAATATGACCATGATGCCAAAAAGGCATTGCAAATTCTTTATTGAATCACCCTCAGTGTGTTTTTTATATTTTCTCACTTAAAGGAGAAGTATTGGGAGAGTAAAATGTACTCTTCTCAATACTTAGAGCCAGTGTGTGAAACTGCAAGTATCACATGCGGGCTGTACAGATTGAGAGCTGAGCGATCACCAGCCTCTGATTGCTCAGCTCATGTCTTCTCCCTGCAGAGAGCAGTGACTGTCGGTCACCACTCCTGTAGGGATTCCCCCATTCCCCTCTCAGTTCCTTCAGCACTCATTGGAGGGACAGATAGGGGAGGGGGCAGGCACAGC